TGGCTCACCTGGCTGGCCCACGTCAGGGTCTGCAGGAGAATGTTTGCATTCTCCTTTCTGCCTTGGTGATTGCACACCCAGGAGGGCGTGAGTTTAAAGACAGGCCGCCTCTGCAGCCCTTGGTGACGGTGATGAGGGCCATCTCAAGATGACTGGCTGTGTAGGGTTAGCGTTCTTGTAAGTATCATATTTGTATATTACAATCAAATTGTGCTTTCCGTAAATTTTTCCTCGAGAATTTACTAACATCGCTCGTGTTAGTACACTACATTTTGAAAGCACAAAAATTATTTCTAAAACTGATCTACATGTTGAGCTTCACAAGCAAACCTATTTTTTAGAAAAAAAGTTTTCATAATTAATAAAAAACATAATGGAAAACTGTGGAGTGGAAGAAAGGTTTAGTTCAGAAGTTGAGCCTGCAGGAGCAGCAGACTCGGCGGCCCGGACGAATTCCTGTGCAGGTGTGGGGTCCACATCACCGGAGGAAGTGTGCGGTGTGGCCGCGGTGGGGGTGAGCTGTTGCGGTGTAGGTGGAGAATGGTCCTTGGATGCAGAGGCAGAGCTGTAGGAGGGAGCGTTCTGAGAGCTTGAGACTCCTTCTCAGGTGCGGGAGTGTTAACCAGTCGGTAGAGGTGGTTAAAGTAAAGCCACAGGTGGGTGAGTTTTAGAGAGATTAAGTCGTACTACAACAAAAGCAAAATTAGTAAAATCCGACTAAGTCGGTTATTTGTTCAAGATGTAGACGAAGGTTAAAAGTGCAGTAACTAGAGAAGAGATCTCGTGTTCTTTCCCCTGAGCAACCTACTATAGTTACATGCACCTGAGTTCCTGTGGTTCCCAGCCCCGTGCGTCTCGGTGTGCGTGTAAAGCAGCCTGACAGATAATCCTAACCTCTGGCATAGGATGTCCGTTAAGGGACTGCTAGCTGCCTGCTCACTCCTCGGGACCATCTTGGTGGCACTTAACACTAGACCAGGCAAGCTCTGTGTGGGTATTGAAAGATGTGGCACAGGCGTGTGGAAAGATGGCATGTGGGTGGGAGTGGGCAGCGCCCTGCCGTGGCTACTCCTTGCCCTACAGACAGCAGAACCCCTAGCAGCAGTATGTGGGTGGGCTGGCACCCACTGCCCAGCTAAGAGCAAGTTGAATTCCAAGGCATGGCCCAGTCAGAGGCCCAGTGTGTCTTACATACAGCCGACATCTCAGCCCGGAAGAGCTTTCCAGGGAAACAGTCCTGCAAGGTTAAATGGAAGTCATTTTATGTGCCAAAGGTGGGAGATTTTGTCACCCTTTTATTCAGGACTTCGTGATGAAGTAGGTGAAAGGTTCCCACGTGTGCTGCCGGGATGGCTGCCGACCACTTCAGTGCAGGCCGTTCCTCCTCGGCCACTGCAGCCTCGGGGCCACGTCGGGGCTCGGTGCAGGCAGAGGCGCGGGCTCGTTCTGCTCTGTTGACAGTGTAAGCAAGTCGAGTGGGTGAAAAGTCCTTGCAGAGAATAAGTTCATTTTCCTCAGGTCGTGTGAGTTGGAGGTGTCGTGAGATGAGGGGTGGAAATTACTGGAAAGCTGGAGGAGTAAAAGGCTGTCAGAGTGAATGTGCTATGGACTGTCGGTGTTCTAGAACGTGTTAGAAAGAGAAGATGTGTGTTCCACATAGCCTCTTCCTACAGTAACTCCACTTGACATTATTTAAAATGAACTGACTTCTCTGACTTCCTTATTGTAACAGTCATTTCAGGAATGTAGAAAACTCCACGTTTGTTGTATTATTCCTATTTTTCTCTGGCATCCAGTCTTAAATATGCCCAGTTGTTTAGGATACACATCTCTCTTCTTTTTTCTTTCCTTTCCTTCTCTAGGATTTACAGTTACGGGGAGAAGGGGGGAGAGATCTTCCATCTCCTGGCGCACTCCCCAAATGACTGCAGTGGCCAGAGCTGGGCCTGCGCAGTCGGGAACATGTGGCTGACTTTCCCAGATGGGGGAGGGGATCGTGGCCTGGAGCTGTCTGTCCTGGGTGCTTTAGCAGGGAGCTGAGTGGGAAGTGGAGCAGCTGGGATTTGAACCAGCTCCATATGGGATGCTGGCCCCACAGGTGGAAACAATTTCCTGTGTCACACGTTCCCCCCTCCCCCTACCTGTTTTTCTTAGTAGAATAATTGGATGTATTGTTGGAGTATTCGTTTAAGAAGCATTTTAGTCATCAGCCATTTAAGGATGCCTTAGGAAGGCAGGTTTTTTTTTTATAAAGATTTATTTATTTCTCTTGGAAAAGCAGATATACAGAGAGGAAGAGAGACAAAGAAGAAGATCTTCCATCCAGTGGTTCAATTCCCAAGCCACAATGGCTGGAGCTGAGTCAATCCAAAGCCAGGAGCCAGGAGCTCTTCCTGGTCTCCCACGTGGGTCCCAAGGCCTTGGGTCCTCGACTGCTTTCCTAAGCCAAAAGCAGGGAGCTGGACAGGAAGCGGGGATGCTGGGCTTAGAACCAGCGCCCATATGGGATCCCGGCACGTGCAAGGCAAGGACTTTCACCACTATGCTATCACGCTGGGCCCAGAACGCAGGGTTTTGATTTAGAGATTGAAATTCAGCATTGGGGCTGGCTATTGTATTGCAGCCTAAGTCATCTTTTACTGCCTGCGTCTCAGAGCAGAGCGCTGCGGGTGGAGTCCCAGCTCTGCTTGCAGTTTAGCGTCCTGGTAATGCATACCCTGGCCAGCAGACCTCAACCCTTGGGTCCTGCCCTCCATTTGGGAGACCTGGAGGGGTACAGCCTGGGCCAGCTGCTGCTGTTGTGGGCATTTAGGAAATAAACCAATGGGTGAAAGATTTATCTGTGTGTCTGTGTTTGCACTCGAAACAAACTTAACAAATGAAATCAACACTGGAAGAAATGTTTGCAAAATTCTAACAGTTGAAGCTCTCAGTGGATTAACCGGTGCAGGTGTAAGTGAAGGGCTTGCATTTCAAAATCTGCTTTGGCCGCTGCGTCATGGGCGCTTTGCAGTCTGTAAAACCTTTACTGAGGACTGTATTTGATTTGAAAGCTGCGTCAGTTCCCCCTGTTCACCCAGTTCCAGGCCTGCTTTGCAGGGTCCTTGTAAAACGTGCAGATTTCTCTTCTGTGTGTGCTTGCTGGATTCTGATTTCTGATGTTAGTGTTAGTAAAACATGGTTAAGAAAGAATACAGCCAGAAATACTAGTTACAGAAGCAAAGGAGGTTAATAAAGCTAGCACTGTTACATATCCTGTTGTTCATTTTAAACTCCTGCTCTTTGGGACATTCACATTGTTGAGGTGCCGCTCCTTTTGCTTTTGTTGTCACTTTTTCCTCCCAAATTGCCTGTGGTTCTCCCTGTAATAAAATTTGCTACAACTGGGTGGCAGTGTTGATTTCTGTGAAACTGGAAAAGATACTGTTGGTTTATATTGAGACTCATTTCAATAAGAGCTCAAATGTGAATGTCACTGTTCAGTGAAATAATGGTGAAAAACCAGGTTTATAGTCACTGAACCCCTTGTCTCTTTATAACCAGTCTGATTTAACTTAATATTTTCATTTTGTGCATCTAACATAGTACATACAAAAGAGCCACATCTGTTAAGCATCAAAATGTTTTAAGAATCAGTTGCTAATAGTTAAAATGAACAGTAACTTGTTCATGGTGGTTTTGAAACTGAAAGGGAATTTTGTATTTTTTAAACTTGTAAGTAAATACTATCTTAGATGTTTGACTCTGTTAAGGCAACACGCATACTTAGTTTTGGAGATTTATTTGAAAGAGTTGCAGAAAGAGAAGGACAGAAAGGTGTCTTCTCTCTGCTGATTACTTCACAGGTGGCTGCTGATGGCCGCGGTGACCACCCTGCCCCAAACCAATGCCAGGAGCTTCATCCTGTCCTGGTGAGGGCTGGCAGGGACCCAAATGCTTGTGTCATCTTCCACTGCTTTTGCCAGACCTCTGGCAGGACGAGTGGAGCAGCAAGGACACAAACAGTCTGGGAGGGCAGTGTCTTCACCTGCTGTGCCACAGCGCAGGCACTTCAAATGTTCATTTGATTGCAGATTTGTTCTTTTTGTCTGTCTTTTAACTCAGTTCTATTTCTCAGTATTCTTTTCTGCTCTAAATAATTTTGCTCCACTCATGTCTCGTTCTGACATGACCTGTGCGTTGGTTGAACACGTCCCCAAGTGTGTGCGGCCTTGTTTCAGCACGTCACCATGGTTGGTGCTGACCCTCTTGTCTGAGACTTTGATCATGGTAATGTTGTGTTGCATGTCTCGTGACAATGACATTGTGAGCATTAATGTTAATCATGTCAAAGGAAAATTTAAACTTTTTCTGAACACTGCACTGATATTAGAATCTAGTGATCCATTTAAATACATGAGGTTCATCTGTGAACATTTTGAGACTATTTTTTCCGTCATGTAGTGCAAATGTATGAATGAAGACACCTGACAGTAAGCACTTTCTTTTCTTTTTTTATATAAAGATTGATTTTTATTGCGAAGTCAGATATACAGAGAGGAGGAGCAACAGAGAGGAAGATCTTCCATCTGATAATTCACTCCCAAGTAACCGCATGGCCGGTGCTGCGCCAATCCAAAGTCTGGAACCAGGATCTTCCTCCAAGTCTCCCACAGGTCCTCCACAGGGTCCCAAGGCTTTGGGCCGTCCTCGACTGCTTTACCAGGCCACAAGCAGGGAGCTGGACAGGAAGTGGAGCTGCCAGGATTAGAACCAGCACCCATATGGGATCCCAGTGTGTTCAAGGCAAGGACTTTAGCCACTAGGCCAGTGTACCAGGCCCAATAAGCACTTTGTTAAGCATGGGTCCAGTTTGTGAGTATTTACATGTCTCAGGTACCTCTCTAGAAGGTTCTCGGGACAGGAGATGGTTGAGAGCATAGATTGAGGGAGGTCCTGAAGACATAGGTTTATTACATCACAGGTCTTCCATTACTGACCTTCTCTTCCTCTCTCTCTAGGGTACTTCCACAGAGCTACAATGGAAAAGTCCTGGACGCTGTGGAGCTTTGTGGAAAGATGGCTGATAGCCTTGGCTTCTTGGTCTTGGGCGCTCTGCCGTATTTCTCTTCTACCTTTGATAGTAACTTTTCATCTGTATGGAGGCATTATCTTGCTTCTGTTAATATTCATATCTATAGCAGGTATTCTGTATAAATTCCAGGATGTTTTGCTGTATTTTCCAGAACAACCTTCCTCTTCACGGCTATACGTTCCTATGCCTACTGGAATTCCACATGAAAACATTTTCATCAGAACCAAAGATGGAGTGCGTCTAAATCTTATTTTGATAAGGTACACTGGAGACAGCTCACCCTATTCCCCAACTATAATTTATTTTCATGGCAATGCAGGCAACATAGGTCACAGGTTACCAAACGCATTGCTCATGTTGGTTAACCTCAAAGTTAACCTTTTGCTTGTTGACTACCGAGGGTATGGAAAAAGTGAAGGAGAAGCAAGCGAGGAAGGGCTCTACTTAGATTCTGAAGCCGTGCTGGACTATGTGATGACTAGACCTGACCTTGACAAAACAAAGATCTTTCTTTTTGGCCGTTCCTTGGGTGGAGCGGTGGCTATTCATTTGGCTTCTGAAAACTCACACAGGATTTCAGCCATTCTGGTGGAGAACACGTTTTTAAGCATACCACATATGGCCAGCACTTTGTTTTCATTCTTCCCAATGCGCTACCTTCCTTTATGGTGCTATAAGAACAAATTTTTGTCCTACAGAAAAATCTCTCAATGCAGAATGCCTTCCCTTTTCATCTCTGGACTCTCTGACCAGTTAATCCCACCAGTAATGATGAAGCAACTTTATGAACTCTCCCCATCGCGGACTAAGAGACTGGCTGTTTTTCCAGAGGGGACACACAATGACACGTGGCAGTGCCAAGGCTATTTTTCTGCACTCGAACAGTTCATCAGAGAAGTCATGAAGAGCCATTCTCCCGAAGAAATGGCCAAGACATCGTCCAGCGTCACGATCATATAACAACACTTCCTTCTGGGTTGAGGCGTCGTGTTCTCATTTGTGCAGAACAATGAATGTTTCCTTCCGGAAGTGTGTTAGTATCTGTAAGAGTCTCGAGAGTGACATTAAACTCTTAAAGGATCTCAGTGTTCCTTTATTATGATCCAAATGTTTTTTTGTTTCTAATTTGAAGAACTGTAATTCCTGAGATAAATTCATACATTTTAATCAAAGCTTCCATTGTCACTATGTATCCGTATCTTTATTATGTCACTGTAATAGAGATGATTTAAAAGTTTCTTGTTGCTGAAATGGTGTAATCTAAATTATACTTGGGCTCTGGCTCTTTGGAAGGATATATGTAAGCAAGAAGCCTGTGGACGCTAATCCCGTCACAGATACTGGGACAATCATGGTGAACAAACTGAACTCTGTAACTGCATTTTTCACCTTAAAAGTTTAAATGAGATGCATGATGGTATTTTATTCCTTGACTTATGCAATGCAACATTTTTAGTGTAAATAGCACTGATTCTATACCAGTGTATACGGTTACCTGGGTTATATCTATTTTTATGTAAATTCTATTTTGTCGTTGGCAAGACGTGAGCCAAGGCCTCTGCAGGTTGCCCTTGGGTTGAGCTCTGGTAGATGCGGAGACCCAGCCTTTTCTTACCAATAAACGGGACCCTGTTTTTCCGATGTCAGCGTACCGTGTTTTGTTAGGTACAGTCTGGACCACAGCATGTAGAAGTAGAAATTTAGAATTTTACTGCAGCTTTGATGTGCATATCCAAACTTTTTAACATTTGTAATTTTGGTGGCAAAGAGAATTTTAGCTTCTGTCCATTTTGTAAGTCTACAGCCAAAACACTAATAGCAGTCATAGTGGAGGTTAGAACTCGCTTAAGACCTGTTAGGAGGTCTTTACTGCATTGCTGTATATACTGTTTTACAAAATTTTTATATTTAATTCTTTAGTTGCAGTATCTAAGATATCTCCAACCAACCAAAAATGAGATATACCGCTCATTGAACTTTTTAAAACTAAAAGTTAAAATCATTTGTTCTTGACTTGATGTTCCAGTGATAGTAAGATAGAGTTCCTGTATCAAAAGAAATTTGTAGAAAGTCTTATTTATTTACTTACTTTAAAATATTTTAATTGTAGGAATATGGAAGGAATTCTAGAACTTTTTGATCCAGAACCCATTGCCATATTTAAGTGTTAAATTGTAGGTGGGAAGTAGTAGTTAAACATATGGAAGAATAAGAAAAATCTTTAAAATATTTGGCGGGATTTAGTTTAACAACAATAGTAGCTATAAAAGAAAATGTTTCCAGGTTGTCCTCAACGACTAGACATAATTGAATTGTGTACCTCGTGGGACCAGTGTTAGCATTCAGCGTTGTGAATATTTTAGCTGTTCATTGTCTTTCCACAGGCACCTAGAGCAGAAAAGAGTCAGTTATCTTGATCTGAATTTCAGACATTTTCCATGGAAATGGCGGGACAGGAAGTGCTTCTGCCAGGTTGCACTCTTACTCACGTTGTGCCAGCATTATGGAGAATAAATGATAGCAAGTATGTTTGTAAGGAAAATAGGTTTTCTATAAATTATGAACTATAAAAAAATTGAATTTTTAAAGAGTCGGTAGTATATATCTTGGAAAGTGTATTTTGTATTTATAAGTTCACCACAAAGGCTGCTTGTCACCATTTTGATGCTTGCCACGTGGAGTGACTGTCCTAACAGTGATGTGCTAAGGAAAAAGCATATGCGAGACGTAGCCTGTTTAGACATGCGCTTACGTGGCACATCTTGTCCTTGCATCATTTTTTGAAGTTTACACAAACCTTTTGTTCTCACGTAGTCGTTTAGTCTTGTGTAACATGGAAGAATTTGTCAACTTTAGTTTTAAATGTTATGCTGATAAAGTATAAAAGCTTTTTCTTTTATGCTTCTTTTCTTCTGTATGTGATACCACAGGTTTATAAATCATAGGGGTTTTATAAATATAGACACATATATACACACCTGTACGTGTATATATACATATATGTATGGAAAATACACATATATGTTGTTGGTTTGAGTTAGGCTTCGGAATTGTGGAGTGCCTGGGGCGCCTCTGGATTTCCAGGGAGGCTGTGTGGGGTTCAGCCGTTTCTGTGGGTTCGTTCACTTGGGTGGGAAGGGGATGAAACGCCAACTCTGACTGCCGAGGAACCTGACCCCCAAGGTGTCCTTATCTGGAAGTTGCTAGTTCTGTGGGCAGACTTCCTTGCAAGTCACTGTTTCGTTTTTGATCTAGCTTTTGGTAGGAAGGGAAGGATGTCTATCTTGTATGTTAATTTCTTGTTCACTTATGCAAGAGTCACCATAGATAGTTGTCAGCTAATTTTAAATTTGAACTACTATAAATTTGGCGATCCTAGAATGATTCTAAATATGGCAAGTTGATTTGTTTGGAATAAAGTCCAAAATCCAATTTTAAAGGGGAATTTTTTGGGAAACTGGATAAGGAAAAAAAAATACTGCAAGAACAATGACGGGTGAAAACAGTGGGCTAGAAAGAGGGCAGTGTGTCGTAGTTCTCCGATGTGACCAGGTGTGAGATTGGCAAGAAGCAAGCAGATGCAAGACAGTATTTGGATGGAAAGCATTCAGGAAAAATAAAGTGGGGTCCCTGATACTGTAACTGTCCTATGTTTTTTGCAAATATATTTTTTGGTTATAAAGTTGGTATTTGCATTTAAATGCAGTTTTGGTACATGGTGACTTAAATTTGTTTTGCTGTGATTTATAGAAAATGATAAACACTTAAGTGATGGGCTTGGTCATATGTCATTGGAAAAATTACAGGGCAGTTTTTATTGTGGAGAATTGGGGTGCTGTGACGCTCATCTGTTCATTTCTTGTACGATTTGGCTTGGGTGGGAACAGCTTACGACACTGCAGGCCGTCTCCAGCCTTGCCGAAGTAGATGTGCAAACTCGGACAGTGCAAGGTGGCTTGGGCCGTCTCTTCCCTGCCTGAGGTTAAGGCTGGAGAAGGGTGGATGAGGCAGCCTGGGAGTGTCGGGAGAAAAGGACCACAGTCCTCCACAGGGCTCCCTCTTCTACATTTGATGGTTCGTTTCTAAAAGAACTGTAAAAGAAAAATTAGTTGTAACTAGCCTTTTCGAATGATCCATTTAATATTATGTATTTCCGTATTACTCAGGTGAAGTTGGAAGTGGCAAGAGCACAGGTATTTATTTTTTAAAGTGATAAGGTAGAAAATCAAAGGCACTTCTGTTCTGATTACCTTATATGCACATCAACTTAGCTAATCAGAAATAATATATTTGTTTGTTTGGCAAATTAAATACAGTTATCCTATTACAAGTCAATGCATTTTTGCCAAATGGCTCAAATATACCTCCATTTATATTTTCTATCTTTAAAATGCAGTTTAAAATAGGAGTATGTATAATAGACACTTTTTTACAAGAAGTGCCAGATATACATATATAACGGGTGTGTGTTTAGCATAACTTATAACAATTTCTGTCAGTACAGACAATACTGAAAACTCATTATATTCAACATATTCACGTAAATTCAAGATAAAAGAAGGTAACCAATTTCATAATGTGTTTAGTTTTGTTATTTGCCATGTTTGATTTGAAACAGTAATAAAGTTTTATAACTCAAATTTGAATGTCATAGTACATTGTATGCTAACTATAGCAAACATTTACATTTGTTTTTTTACAATAAATTTCTTTTAAAGTATACTTTCTATTTTTCTGTACTGACATATGCAATAAATTGATACATTAAAAGTTTGATTAAAAGTCTTAAAATAGCTTTATTCACTTTTTTTTTTCAGTTTTCTCTTAACCTAAATTCTGTGGTAGGAAATTAATGTTTCCTTAATTGCTAAATGAAATTCCTGAATTTGTGCTGAAATTACTGTATTTTGTTCTGGTAATAGTATAGATTGAAAAAAAAAAAGACAAAATTTAGGTTAATGTGTCCTTTTTCCATTTGGATTACCCTCCCTTAAGCATTTAATTTGGACTAATATGAAAAATGTCTTCAGCCTGTATATTGCTGATAGTTGGCTAAACCCCCAAAACATTTTTTTAGTTAATCTGCAGGTGAACATATTTTAACCCTGCATAATCGCATTGTCTTCAGATTTCATAAAGTTCCTTTTCAAGAAATTCTCCAGCCATTTGTGTTTTAGATAATTGTTACAGGTGATTTTTTTTTTTAATTGGAAAGGCAGATAAACAGAGAGGAAGATCTCCTGTGTGATGATTCACTCCCGAAGCTGCCGCAACAGATGAGGCTCAGCCAATCCGAAGCCAGGAGCCAAGAGCTTCTTCCGGGTCTCCCACGTGGATTCAGGGTCCCAAAGCTTTGGGCCGTCCTCAACTGCTTTCCCAGGCCACAAGCAGGGAGCTGGATGGGAAGCAGGGCTGCTGGGATTAGAACCAGTGCCCATATGGGATCCCAGCACATTTCAGGCGAGGACTGTACCCACTATGCTATTGCACTGGGCCCCTGTTACAGGTGATTAAAACTGGTAAAATACTCAGTCATCTTTTAAGTGTCTGTAGCTTGCTGTCAAAGTAAGTTGTAAAGTAACAAGTGTAAACTGAGCCCCAAGTGGGGCTTTATTTATTGGAGGCCTTTCCAGGTGGGGAAATGGAATCTTGCATGCCCTGCTCTGAAAGATGAACAATCTGGATCCCAGAATGATGCAGTTTTGGGAACTAACATTTTCAAAAGTTATTTTTTTTAATTTATTTTTTAAATAACATTGTATTATGTGACACAGTTTTATAGGTACTGGGATTCCCACCACCCCTCCCATAGCCCTCCCCCCATGGTAGATTCCTCCACTTTGTTGCGTGACCACAGTTCAAGTTCAGTTGATTCCTTCATTGCAAGCATATACCAAGCATAGAGTCCAGCATCTTATTGTCCAGATAAGTTCAACAGCTTTTTGGGGAGACCTTTTCTGGTCTGAAGGTAGAGCCAACAGAGTAAAAACCCGGTCAATCAAAAGTCCCAACATAACATCAGCAACAATATACAATGTTATGGTATTAATTGATGTAATATTGAGTGAACAATCTATTAAAAATAGTGCAAGTTCTTAACCGCCTCCTGTGACTACTCCATTGACATTTCAGCAATTGAGGTGTATAACAGTTATATTAGGGGTGAAGCACAAGATTTTGAAAGTATAGTAGGTTTTACAATTTTTCAAAAACACATGGGTTGAGACAGTATCAATGACAGGTTCAAAAAGAAGAAGAAAAAATTACAGGTTAAATTAAGGCAAACGTGGTATCTAACCTTTTGGGATTGGCTCATTTCTCTTAGCATTGTGGTTTCCAGTTGGGCCCATTTGGCCACAAAGAACTGCATTTTGTTTTCTTTAATGGCTGAGTAGTACTCCATGGAGTAGATGAACCAAAGCTTTCTTATCCAGTCTTCTGCTGATGGGCATTTTGGTTGCTTCCATGTTTTTGCAATTATTGATTGTGCTTCTATGAACATAGGGGTGCATGTTGGTTTGTCGTGAAAGAGGTGTTTTGGATATATTCCTAGGAGTGCTATTGCTGGGTCATATGGTATGCAGATTTTGAGTTGTTTGAGTGTTCTCCAGACTGATTTCCATAGAGGCTGTACCAACCTGCAGCCCCACCAACAGTGGAGTAGGGTTCCCTTTTCCCCACATCCTCACCAGCAAGTGTTGTTGGTGTTTCCCCGTATGTAGGCCAATCTTACTGGCTTTAGGTGGTACCTCATTGATGTTTTGATTTGGATTTCCCTTATTACCAGGGACCTTGAGCATTTTTTCATGTGTTTGTTTGCCATTTGGGTTTGTTCCTTTGTGAAATGTCTGCCCGTTGCCCGTGCCCATTTCTTGAGTGGCTTGCTTGTTTTGGTATTTTGGTTGTTTTGGAATCCTTTGTATATTCTGGAGATTAGCCCTCTATTACCTGTGTAGTGCGCAAAGCTCTCCTCCCATGCTGTGGGTTGCTTTTTTACTTTGCTGATTGTTTCCCTTGCTGTGCAGAAGCTTCTTAGTTTGATGAGGTCCCATTTGTTTATTTTAGTCTTGATTGCTATTGCTTTTGGTGTCCTTTTTAGGAAGTCAGCACCAACCCCTAGATCTTGCAGGGTATCTCCAACATTTTCTTCCAAAAGTTTGAAGGTTTCTGGATGTAGGTTTAGGTCTTTTATCCATTTTGATTTGATCTTAGTGTATGGTGATAGATGTGGGTCTATTTTTTTGTTTCTGCAGGCTATCAACCAGTTGTCCCAACAGCACTTATTGAAGAGACCTTCCCATTTGCCTGGATTGTCATTTGTCTTTTTGTCAAAGATTATTTGGCTGTAATTGCATTGGTTCCCTTCTGTTGCTTCTATTCTGCTCCATTGATCCTCCTCTCTGTCTTTGTGCCAGTTACATGCTGTTTTGATGACGATTGCCCTGTAGTATGTCCAGAGATCCAGAACTGTGATTCCCCCTGTTAACGTTCTATTCTTCAAGATGGTTCTAGCTATTTGTGGTTTCTTTTGTGTTTCCAGACAAACCTTTGTATCATTGTCTCCAGTTCCATGAAGAATGTTATGGGCAATTTGATTGGGATTGGGTTGAATATATGTATATTGCTTTTGGTAGTATAGACATTTTAATGATTATTGATTTCACCTGTCCAGGAGCATGGGATGTTATTCTATCTTTTGAGGTCTTGTTCGATTTGTTTTTTAAGTAGTTTGTAGTTTTCTTCAAAAAGGTCTTCTACATTTTTGGTTAGATTTATTCCTAGATACTTGGTATTTTTCTTTGTTGCTTTGAATGGTATCTTGCTGGTTACATCTTCTTCCATCTTGGGACTGTTTGCATACACTGTGGCTGTTGATTTTTGTTCATTAATTTTGTACCC